TCCTCCTCCTCCTCCTCCTCCCCCTCCTCCGAGCCATCCGACCCATCCGACCCATCCGAACCAGATTTCTTGACTACAAATGCACCTAGATACAAGAAAACCGCTATCCTTACACACATAAACTTTAGGTCCCTCTTTTCTCAATGGAATCCTAAGGATACCTACCTAGGTATATGATAAGGATCATCCCAACTCCATACTTTAATACATCCCAAAAATCCTTTTTTGATATCTAAAATAACCTTATCTTTTATTCTTCAAAGTTACCTATACACACTTCTCGCACATTCGAATTCGGTATTTCCATACATTCCTTGTATTTTTTGAGTATAGAAATACCTAGGATTTAGCGGAGGAATTTGGAATTTTAGGGGGTGGGGGTTAGATGGGACTGAGGTGGTTTTGTGTGAGAGATTGTATGTCTTTTACTACTGTACCTACCTAGCCCTTTTGAATAATTGTTATAATGATTATAATTGTATGACTTAAGTATCCTGATTTCAGGAATTTGTATAACTTTACTACTTTACTTCTATTCCTGTTAGTATACTACTTTCTAGAGAACGTTTTATTTCTGTTTAGATAAAGGTAAGTAGTAGATTCATAATATAGATAATACTCTTGAAGTTACGAGGAATTAACTATAAGTAGTTATCTTATAGTATATATATAGTCCTCTATATGGTTATAAGATAGAGAAAGTAAAGGGGGACTAAGTCAAACTTATTTTATACAACTAAATCGTATTTTTAATATACCTGCTATCAAGGACAAAACAGGAGACTATCAGAATAAGCTATGTAAAAAGTGGATAACTAAAAAGAAGCTAGCTAAGGGGGAAAGGAATGCTCTGATATAGGAGCTCTCCTGTACCATGGATCCTTCCTGAATGAGACTAGCGTCTTCCTGACAAGGCTAGTGTGACTCATATGGATCCGTGTCGAAAGTACAGGGAGAGTCTCGCCAAAGCAAGAGTCACATGCTAAACAACAAAGGGGGTGAACTCTAGTACGTTCCGTAACACCAGCTTACCTAGGAGAAGATAGGAGGTACCTACCTACCTAGCTACCTCTAGGAATAAACTACTTAATTATCCCAAGTAAGTAAATTACTTTTAAATTCACAAATAGCTTTACGAACTATTCTTTCTCCTTACTCTCTCTCGCCTTCTTACTCGCCACGGGAGTTAGGTTAGGCGTCCTACACCTTAAGATAGGTAGGAGAAAAGAATCAATATCCGGGGCTTGGGCTTAAATTGCCTCTAAGATTCATTTATCCCTTTAATTGTAAGATATATGACAAAGGTAGTGTAAGGTAAGGGACAGAAGAGAGTTTTCTTACAAAGGAAAAAGGTGAAGTCGTGTAGAGCCCGGAAATCCGGGTTTTCAAGTTGTGGATATTAAGAATTTTGAATATGGATACCAGAGGTTATATCCTTATTTTTTGGGTTCGAAAATCTTTTTTTTTTGTAGCTAGAAAATCCTGGTTTTATGCTTTGAGCTTGTATAGTATGGTCCGTGGAAATTTGGTGTTTCTAGAATGTAGATAAGTTTGTTGTATTTTTGAGTTTGAAATTTGGATTTAGCGGGAGGATTTGGAATTTTAGGGGGTTGGATAGGGTTGGTCTTGTATGTGGAGGGATTTTGGATGTTAGTAGTGGTGTTTTTGGAGGCGAATGGTGGGGGTTGTGATAGCAAAGGGGGTATATGTAACTTTAATACTTCTTTTGGGTGTAGGTACAGTACTTTTTATATGTGTCTTGGAAGTCAAGGCGCTGTGATGACGCTGATGTGATAAATTAGATTGGAGGTATGGCTTTTAGTACACACTCTGTTGTGAGTCTATGAAGGGTACCAAAAAGGAGGGTAGTTTATAAATTATACAAAAATATATCATTACATATATACCCGCTATCTATTCCCCTACTCTATATAACGAACTTTTTAACGGAACTCATTCTTGCATTTGATTCTATCTCGTTTGAAAGCGTCCGTCCGGTATACCACACCACACCACCCCTTAGCATGAAGAAGGCGTTTGAAGATCTATTTCTGTTTCTGTTTATGGTATACAGATTACAATCGGACCTCAGGGTATTTGATGATGGTGGGAAATGGGGTAAGTCGGTAGGGTGAATTTGAGGGCGGGATTTGGGGGGGATTTTGGATCTGATTTGGTGGGTAGGATCCTTTGGTGTATCGTGTCTTTGGCGGGGGGTGGGGGTTCTGGAGAAATTGCTTAGTTAGTTACTTGGTTGGTTGTGATAAATAATAGAAAAGCAAAATTAAGCGGGGTTAATGAAGATGGTCGTTACAAATTGGTATCGTGGACATGATTCAAGCTATTGGCACGATCGATTTATGGAGATGTGACATGTGATATGTGACAAACTTGGGAGACAGTTCTCACTTGCCAAATGTGTTACACCCTTGCGAAGTTACGAGCTGACTTGCTTGTACTATAGAAATTGTAGGTTCATATTCACCAACACACTCAGGCTCCTTAACGAGCCCTGGAATTCCACCTATACACACTCCACTCTTTTAAAGAAGCATGGTCGAATACATGTCCAACGAACCAAGTAACGATAATACCAGCCTAGATTTCATTTTACTTTCCGGCTGCGTAAAACAGTACTATATTGCGCAACAAAACATGGAAGTGCACTTGTTTATTCACTTAATTCTTATCTTACTTATTAGATGCTAGGCCGTCTGAAAGGGTTTAGGGGTTTAGGATTTTAAGTTAGATTGAATGCTGTTTGGAACCTGTAATAGAAGTCTTGTAAGTTGGTATTCTCTGCATTTCTAGCTCGTTTGTTGATTCTATCTGGGACTTGTTGATGGGTTTGCTACATAGTGAATAGAAGTATCTGGTATACAGCCTATATCACAAAGACTCTGGAAATCGGTTGCTTGCGAAATGCGACGAGAATCGGGGAATTGAAATTCACCCGCTTTTGATTGATATATCGACTGGGACTTCCACTGTTCTGTAGATTCTATACTCTGACGTGCTGCTCTTTCTTCTAGGAGCTCTGGAGAAACCGTTTGGTTACGACATGCAACAAGACTTTAGGAAAGTGATATTTTGCGAGGATATATGGAAGGCTAGGGTGCCAGATAAGTTGTATTCAGATGACTAGGGAGCTAACGCCTGTAGGCAGGAGTCTGGCTTACGGAGTACATAGCCCTGGCATATGCCCCTTCTTTGTTGTACGCTCCTGTTACATTCCATGCATACAGGTTCCATGCGGTGGAAACCACTGGTCAGGTTGACTGAAAACATGATATATTCACCCAGATTTGAGAAATACTAGGGCGATGTTGGGGAGATCCGGGTATTACGATCTACAACAAAATACCACTCGTGAGAATACACCTTCTAGTGTAAGATAAATCCGTACGCCTTCCTGAAATATATCTTCAAGTAAAATCGGTTGTTGGCGCGATATGCAACGAGATTTTGAGATGTGTTTATTCACTTTATTTAGAGCTCGCTTATTTTGATATACTATTAGATTAAGAGTCAACAAGCCCATTCCCGCCTTTCCGCAATACATACAATCCCGTCGTACATACGTCTCAAGACCTGGGATATATAATCCGAGCTCTTTGCCAATTCCATGGAGTATTTGCTTTGCGTGGGGCATATCAAGACAAAGTTTGAAGTGAATTGCTCACACCTCATAACCGGTCCCTAGAGAAGTTTCCGGAAGAAAGAAACAGACTTCCAGGTAATATAGCCAGCGACAAGAAAACAATCACCACAGCGCACAAGTAGGCTCCTCTCTCTCGCAATGAAACGCGCGTCGAAAGTCCCCAGAATTCTGCATCGTCCCCAGCAAGCGCGCAAAGCTAGGCGCGTGGGGATCCGAATAGATCCTATCCGCCAGATTCGCCGGCCGCGTTTTGGCACACCACATCCCGCCATAGGCAATGAAGAACAGCTGTTCCTTGCTGAACCCCTCGAGACCTGGGAGAAGGTCATCCGGCTCCATCTCCTCGTGCAGCTTCCATGCCGCGAATGCAGCACCCAGACCACCTGCATCGGCGATGTTTTCGTTCAGCGTGAGCTGGCCATCTACATGGAGCTGCGCGCCGGTAGGGGATGTGATGCTGTAGTTTGCATATTGGGTCACGAAACAGCGTGTCCGTTGCTGGAAGGCGGCGATGGTTGGGGAGTCCCACCAGTTCGTGTAGTTCCCCGTCTGGTCGAAATGGCGGCCTGTTGAGTCGAAGGCATGGCTTAATTCGTGGCCAGCGATCGAACCGAATGCGCCGTAGGTTATGTATCTTGGGGCATGGACGCCCCAAAAGGCGGGTGGTTGCAGCATTCCTGCGGGCAGAATGATTTCGTTGGATGTGTGTCGGTAGTAGGCAGTTCTATTGGGTTAATTAAGCGATGACTATTGTGAGCAGGTAACTCACGATGATGTTGCGGACCTGCTCCATTCGTCCCTGTTTGTAGCTTTGCCGGCTTTCAACCACATTTGCCTGACCCGATCTCGTGTCATTGACAAAACATTGGCGAAGAAATCTCGGTTCGAGATTTCTACCCTAGAATAATAGATCTGTACCGACTCTGGATCGTCAAGGTTGGGGCTAGAAAGGGGATGGCTGATTCTATATGTGATATTGAGAACTTTGTCTATGGCAAGCCGACGCACTTCCTTGCTCATCCACTCCATTTGACGGAGCGTGGAAATGAACGCATCACTGATGCGTGACCATATCGAAGTTGCGAAGTCCACGTCCTCTGCCGAATAGGTTTTCTGAACATAGAATCTACTTGTCAGCCAACCCAGATTGTCATCGACATGCTTTACGTAGTCTCTCCATCTTGCCTTGTAACGGTCTGGATCTTGACCCTCAAGCCACCGATTGAAACGCTTCAGAGGTGTAACAGCATCGTCTTCGACATATTGATTATAGCTTTGAATGACTTTCTACAGAATATAGTTTTCGATAGTAACCTTGTCGGTACGGCCAAGTATGAGTGATAGGGCCTCCAGGTAGCGGGGAAATTTCACAATAACATATTCCGGGACACATTCGGGGCTCAGTGCAAGAACGAGGTCTTGAATGGAGATTTGTGGCATTAGGGCATCGGCGGCCTGCAGAGTCAAGGAGTTATAATACTCGCTAATGTTGCTTCTCTCCATTCCACTGGGGTACGCGGCAGCCAGTTGGATTTCCAAATCGACAAGATTCTTCGATGAATTCCCCGCAGTGGACCAGTCAAGGCTGCTTCCATCATTGTTAATCAGTTTCAAGCCTTGAAATACATGGCTGATGGCCTCCGTGTACTTCTCAACAGTGTCAAGATCTGTGTAGTATTGTCTTGTTGGAAGACCAGGATGTTTCGGCAGGTCTATGTATATAGTCATAGAACCTGGATCTCTCTCGTTTGCCTATAATCCTAATAAGTTTACGGTGAGTTTTGTGTTTGGAAGCCACGGACCTGGACTGAAAGTGAGACGAATGCTGATACTTCGATCTCGGCTAAGAAGGTCAATACTTTGGATAACTGCTTGGTTTCCAAAGCTACCCGAGCACGACCGGACTGAGCATTTGAAGCTATTGTTTCCTCCTGGACCGTAAAGAGCTTCTTGACCTGTCCAAGTAGTTGCCGTAAAGGTTCTGCACCAACCGATCGCAGCGTGTCCTCGTCCATGCAAGCAGAGTACGCATGCGTGAGCTTTTCATAGTTTTGTCTGTCTGACGATGCCTCATAGGAGATTTCCGGCGTTTCTAAAAGACGGCGCAGAATCTCATCAACATCTTCCGCCATGAGCGTGCCGACTTGCAAATCGACCTGATTTTCCCGCAGGTCATGATGGAGATCCCATCCGGCGCACGTGAAGTTTCGGAAGTCGTTGCATGGATCGATATGCTCATAGTTGGGAGACAATGTCCTCTGGAGCTCCTCTGCGATATGCCTACATTCAGGCGTGGAGCAGGTGGTAACTGTATGTTGAGATGGATGCAGGACTGATGGTAGGGTCACGGGTGTTAGTAAAGCTGCACACACGTGACACGATCAACTTACTCAGAACCCCGGCCAACAGTCCAGATACCATGATGGTGGTAAATAACGCCCCGAGTTGAAGCCACCTCCAGCTGCAATTGGAAGATCGATGCTCGCGGGCCCACGTGAGCAGGCGAGACTCTCTTCCAGCCTGCAGGTGTTCTTGGTCGACTTCATCTTCCAGTAATGGCACGTTGGAGCTCGCGTCATGCATCATTCCGAGCAACAATTCTCTACCAGGTACGCACGATTGCCAGTCGGTGGCATGTCTGATCGATATATCACCGTACCTATACACCGTACCTATACTCATCTGCAGCTGAGTAGAAGTACTCGTATTTGGTATCGACGGGAAAAATGGGTACCCCTTACGTCATTCTTTCAGAGAGGGCACCAGGAGCAGAGAGGAACCGTTGATCATGAATGCGGGTGAGATCCCAAACGAGACAGCCCGGGATTTTGCTTTTGCCTTACTTACCTCGAAATACTTCCACTTCACAAACATGCAATTCCAGTCGGTCCCCGAGTGAGAGAGAGATGATGCCGCGCGATTCAGCCATCGTAGATGATCGGACCACGTTCCTCCTACATGACCATGCTGAGAATCAGGAGCCGAAAAAATCACATCGATACATCCTCCCATTGATATATCTCACGACCTTTTTCCTCTGGCTGGGCCAAAATATACAGCCAGCGCCACAGACGGAGATATACCAGTCGATTGTATGTCAACAACACTATGATACCCACGCAATCAGTTTCGTCGACGACCAGCGATGCAAAGCTCGCCAAGTGCAAGAGGAACTCGCCATGATCCAAGGTCTGGAGAGGCTTCTGGGAGCTTTGCCTACCATTCTTGCCATCCCCTACGGCGTGGTCGCCAACAAATATGGGCGAGCGTTGGTTCTGTCGCTTTCCATTGTCGGCGTGCTGCTGGAGCAGATATGGGCACTCACAGTGTGTTCCTACCCAGACTCGCTCCCGCTCCGTTTGGTGTGGCTAGGCCCCATGTTCGAGAGCATCGGTGGAGGGATGGGCGTCGCTTCATCTATGATACATATCATTGTTGCCGACGTGGTCTCCGCCGAAGCTAGAACCAGCATCTTCTTCCGTCTCCATGCAGCGGGTATCGTAGCTGCGATGCTTGCACAGAGCACCGCCTCTTTCCTGATGGTTCGTGATGTTTGGGCGCCGTGGTACCTGGGCTTGGCCTGTATATCGCTTTCGCTGGTCATGTCCCTCATGATATCAAATTCTACCATGACATCCGCAAGCGCTCTCAAGGGCACAGGCGACCCAGCCTCACAAATCAATATATCCTCGAGCAGTGTAAGGGTGCGAGGTGTCCAAGAAAGACTTGTCAGATTGGCTACAACCATAAAGGGTATCTGGAGCTTGCTCACAGCCAACCCTCAGATTTCCTTACTCTTGTGTCTGATCTTTATTTGTCAGCTGGGGGATAATTAAGTATCTACAATCCTACTGCTCTATATATCAAAAAGATTTCACTGGAGTTTCGCAAGGGTATGTCTACTCGCCTCGCTGCTTGCATTGTGGCCCCGGCTAATAACTCCCCCTACGCAGGCCAATTTCCTCTGGTTTCTTGATGAAGGGGTCGAGCTCTTCTTTCTCATAGTTCTCCTTCCTCTAGCGAGCCATGTATTTATTAGTCGATGCAAAATGTCCCCTTACGCTAAGGACCGATTCATCGCGTTGGCTTGTACTCTCACTCTGACGATTGGCGCACTCGGCCTCGGAATTGCACCTGTCATAGGCCTGGCGATTCCAAGTACCTTCTCACCGTTCAGATTCGTGATTCGTGCTAACACAATAATAGGCTTCGTTTGTCTTTCCATGGGAACCGGTATCATTGATATTCTTCGTTCTCTGTTAACGTACGCGATTGCCGCCGAAGACATCAGCGTGGTATATTCGGCTATGACAATTCCCATTGTCCTCGGCTCATCCATTGCTGGACCTGTCTATACTGGCACCTTTGCTTTGGGCCTTAGACTTGGTACACCATGGGAGGGACTACCTTTTATGGTTGCAGGCGGCTTGTTCATACTCTCATTCGGTATTTTATTTTTTGTGAAGCGGACTGTCTACGAAGAGGCCGAACCGGAGGATGAAATGGGGTAGTAAATAGTAATGTTCACCCCCGCGAGCAGAGCTACACACAGAGCATTATTCATTGAATTGAAGTCATGGAATGAAAAGTTCTAGCCTTCAGAAGATTGTTTGGTACATATTTACATGTTCTAAACTACATCACCCGTTACGGAGTTCCACAGGAATCAAATCCTAGGCTCAACGTCGTGATATTATGCGGCTGCACATGGTTCACCAATGCCGTTGCACAATGCACGGTATGGTGATATCCCCACAACACACTATCAATGGGCCGTCCGCTCCTCCACTTACGCATCTGCATCTCCCACGCATACCCACAATGTGCAAAGTGGTAGTAGTTGTCGGTGTACATCTCCACGTACGTGCCCTTTCGCATATACTCGCTCGACAGCGGCTGCGTGAGCGCTTTATCGCTGAACCAGCTGTAGTTATGCGCCGAGAGGTAGTTTTCCATGAGCTCCGGGTCCGAACAGTCCGGGTGCACCCATGAGGTTAGCATTAGGTCGAAGATGCAACCCTTGGAGCGGGCTGAGGAGGAGGAGGAGCCGCAGTCTTTCCAGGCTGAGAAGGTCTCGGTGTCGTTTTGGCCTACGATGTGTGGTTTATGAAAAGTTTTTTGGCGTGTGAGAAGGATGATGAGGAGAGTTGTTGAGATGGTGAGGAGGAGTGTCGTGATGATAAGGCCGAGTGAGTGTATGGTACGGAGTTTTGGAGACCATCGTTTAGATTTGGTGACTTGGAGATTGTAGCTTAACGAGGAGGGATTGTAGTCTTTCAAAAGGCGTTCCTCGTCCGAGTTTGATGAGATGGGGCGTGGTGTCGCCATTTTCGCGTGTTTTTTCTTCGACGAATTCGTTCAATGACTACAACAAAGGAACAGCAGCTTTGGCATGGAGATTGGAATTCTGAGGATGAGTAGGGCGGGGGGACTCCTAGACCTCGAGAGAACCGCAAAGGAACTCGGCATGAATACGTTCAGTGACGGATCTACAATCTGTTGTACCCACCCAGTTCCTTACGTCGGAGCGCTTGAAAGTTGGGACGAAAAAGGCATATCATGACTGAGATCATGATGATCAAAATCATTACGCAAGGTAAGGGCGAGAGAATTTCTTCCTATCTTGCTTGTCGAGGCCTTGTTTGCTAAAGAGGGGGGGTAATGTAGCATTCGGACTGAACCTTACCACGACCTGCATCTGCATGGTCAAGGTAGGAAACCCTGTCCGCTCCGAGCTTAAACATATTCTACACCGTTATTGTTGGCGATTAAAAACAATTTTCCCCGGATCTACAGATCTACAGTGTGGAGCCCAGCTGCTCGTATGATAAGCTTTGTCATTGGCTGAGGAGAGTGGTACTCGGTAATAGTGACAGGACAGGTATATGCAGCGCAACATACAGGTATTATGATTGTTGCACTTGAGGTAATGGGATTGATGAGAGAGGGGCGAGGTAAGGATCTTGCCTGCTAGCTTCATATGTGCTCGTAGTGGCTTACTGAATCTACTCCAGCCGTATCCTGCTTCATAACGTCATTGAATGTACCTACCTGTAAGTGTGCACCTCTGTACGAGCACCGGTAGCGGTCCGAGCTGTTTGACAGCGGGAGCTTGTTTCCACGTCCCCTTGTTGCGTAAAGTCAAGATGAGGAATTGATCTACTAACTGATTCATAGGAAGCTGCAGTTGGCAGAACAATTGAACCTGGCTAGGTAAACACCACGATAACCTTATACCGTGTAAAACTTTCCTCGTATTTTGCAAAATATTTAGCTGAATTATACACCCGGCATAACGTGATTATAATTGTCAGTAAGTCACGAGCCCTTGGGTCTCCCTTGGGGCGAAAGAAGCCCTGATTCCTGCCTTACTAGCTAGCTAACTTGAAAGAGTTTTGAAAAGGCTAAAGTCCTCCATATGATGTGGTAATTGAGCGCTCATTGGTGCGAAAACACCACGGATTGATGCTACAGCTCTCGAGGAAGAATCTCGCCAAAGTTTGACCTGTTTCATGGTCTTTCCACCCCCTACCTCTGTAACACCTCTATTTGATATTCGAATTCTTGCTATCCACCACCTGTAGCAATGGATAGTCATACCCTAAGGTGTACCGATAGCTCTTTTGGGCCCTACGCTGGCGGCGACTGTCGAGGAGGCTTTGACTTTACGCTCCTCTTCGAACAGAGTATTCTATGGCTAGCTCCCTCAGCACTACTTTTGACTCTATCACTCCCACGGTTTATACAACTGTATCACCAGGATATAAAATCTGTCCCTAGTACGCTCCAGTATCTGAAATTAGTAAGCTCCCTTGGCCCTGCATGATTCTTTTTACAACGCGGTGACTTTCTGCTAACATTTGACTTTTTGATCTTTGTTGTTCTATACGGTTGTTTACAGCTTGGTCTCCTAGTGCTCTGGGCATCTTGGTTAGAGTGGCAAAACCAAGCATCGATTCCAGGTGCTGCCCTCGCATTTATTAATGCTTTCGTAATTCTTGGTCTATCATATTTAGAGCATAGTCGCTCGGTCCGCCCATCATCTCTACTCATTGTCTATCTCCTCTTCTCAACTCCATTAGATGCAGTTCAGGCTAGGACACTGTGGCTCAAAGAGGTATCGGGGGCATTGTTGGCGGTTTTTACCGCTGCTATCGTTATTAAAGCTGCACTCCTTGCGCTAGAACCACAAAGCAAAATAAATCTACTTGTAGTACCCTATCTTTCTTGGCCCCTCGAGTCTGTCAGTGGGATCCTTAGCCGAAGCTCGTTTTGGTGGCTCAACTCGCTGCTTTGGAGTGGCTCACAAAAGATCTTGTCGAATGACATTATTTACGAACCTGACCTGGATCTCTCATCTCAATTGCTCGAGACGAACCTCCTTTTCACATGGGACCGATGTGATAAGAAAAGAAATCATAGCTTTCTGATTGCAGTGTTTACATGTCTGATGTGGCCTGTTCTGGCCGCCATTCCACCACGTTTATGTCAAACTGCATTCACATTTGCTCAGCCTTTCTTTATTGCTCGAGTCATTGATTTTGTCAACGATGGCGACTCTCCACAGTCTAAAAATATTGGATATGGGTTGATTGGGGCAACGGCATTGATATATTTAGGACTTGCTTTCAGCGTCGCAATATACAAGCACAAAACGTACCGCCTCATTACCATGATAAGGGGAGCCTTGGTCTCACTCATATATGCAAAAACTCTGAAGCTTGACACTGGCTCTCTGGCTGATGCTGCTGCCGTCACACTCATCAGTACGGACATCGATCGGATTGCGCTAGGCCTGGGCTACGCACATGAAATGTGGGCATCACTCATTGACGTTGGAATTGCAGTGTATTTGCTTGAAAGACAATTGGGTATCGTATGCATCGTTCCAATCATCATAGCTCTTGCTTGTACTTTTGGAGGCATACAAATTGCCCGGCACATCGGCAGCAGGACAAAACTCTGGCTCGAGGCAGTACAGAAGCGGGTAGGTGTCACATCAACAGTACTGGGTCACATAAAAGCTGTGAAAATGATGGCCCTAACTGGACTACTCAGCGATGATATACAGGCTCTGCGTGTTGTGGAAGTGAACTTGGCGAGGTATTATCTTAAGCTGGATGCTTGGATCAACGTTTTCGCCAACGCACCAACTTTCTTGTCTCCGCCTTTCACATTTTTGCTCTTTGCTTTTGTTCCTGTGGGCAATGCTGCGGGTCTTCTCACGTCCGCTAGAGCTTTTACTGCTCCTTCTATCATTTCGATCATGACTTCGCCGCTCGGGTTGCTTCTGAACGCTATCCCAACGTTCATCGCCTGTGTAGCTTGTTTTGATCGTATTCAAGACTATTTGCTGCTCAGAGACAGGAGGGATGACAGGCTGCTTGATCTCTGCCAACATTCGGACCCATATATAGCATCTCCGTATAATTCAACCTCAACAAACTCTCTCGATATTGATCTGAGCAGCCGGACCGGGATAACCAGCCTTGTTTCGCAAACATATTCGCAAGAATCCAATTATTGTGCAGCATCCATTGTCGACGGATCTTTTAGTTATGGCTCTAACGAGAACCCCGTTCTCCACAATATCAATCTTCAACTGGTGCAAGGCTCATTCGTCATGCTTCTTGGACCCATTGGATCAGGAAAATCCACCCTGCTCAAGGCTTTGCTGAACGAGGTCGAAACGATCCAGGGCTACGTACACCTCAAAACGCCTTCAATTACCTACTGCAGCCAGCAACCATGGCTGACGAATACGTCTCTGCGAGAAAATATTCTGGCTGGGTCAACATACGACGAGAGTTGGTATCAGGAGATCGTCGATGCGTGCGCACTGCAACCAGACTTTGCTTCTCTGGTACATGGTGATATGACTAGTGCAGGATCCAAGGGTGCCGCATTGTCTGGGGGTCAGAAGCAGCGTATTGCGATTGCACGAGCACTCTATTCCCGAAAGCGCTTGATCGTCATGGATGATGTTCTTAGCGGTCTCGACGCGGCAACAGAAGAACTTGTTTTCGGTCGAATTTTTGGGCCATCGGGTTTAGTGAAGAAAAGTGGTACCGCCGCCTTTCTCGCAACGCATGCAATCCGCCATGTACAGGTTGCTGACTCAATTGTTGTGCTTGGTCAAGACGGCACTATTCAGCAACAGGGCAGCTACGACCATCTGAAAGGAGTTGAAGGCTACATCCAGAGCATACTATTTTTGCGGAGGGCAGAAAGTAATAAGGGTGACGGAGAGACATCTGCAGTTGTGAAAACGAGCAATGCATCTTTGCCGGCCGTTGGTGAAGATGCTACCGCAGACCTGCGTCGGCGGACTGGAGATTTCCAAGTATACAAGTATTACTTTGCTTCTGTCGGCACGTCTTATATCATGTGCTTTTTGGCTCTAACAATAGTGTATGTGTTTTGCTTCAGATTTTCTCAGGTATGGCTTGAGTTGTGGGTGAGCGCATCGGCAAGCAAGCCTGGTTCACGAACCAACGGCATCTACGGTGGTGTCTATGTTACCTTCGGTCTTCTTGCTCTGGCATTCTTCTTCTTCGCAGTGGCATTTATGTTCCAAGTCGTCGTCCCAAAATCTGCGTCGCAACTCCACTGGATTCTACTCACAGCAACCATGAATGCTCCCTACAGCTTCTTTACAAAGACAGACGTGGGGATGACACTGAACCGCTGTAGTAAGGATATGGCTTTGGTCGACCTGGACCTTCCCTCTCATGCTCTTGAGACCATCTTTTATGTCATCAATGGTGCGGGACAGGTTATTCTGATAGCCATAGGTGCAAGATATATCGCGGCCGCAATCCCTGCTATCATCATAGCTGTGTATTTCGTGCAAAAGTTCTATCTGAGGACGTCCCGACAACTCAGATACCTGGATCTTGAAACCAAATCGCCTCTGTACAGTAATATGTTGGAGACATACGATGGGTTGTCCACAATCCGCGCCGCAGGGTGGGAAACGCGTTTTCTCGAAAAGAACCGCAAAGTTCTGGATGATTCTCAAAGGCCTTATTACGCATTGTACTGTATCCAGCGCTGGCTCAACGTCGTTTTGGCGTTGCTGGTGGCTGCGGTGGCCGTCCTACTTGTTACTTTTGCGGTCGAGCTGCAAGGGACTGCCACTGGTAGCACGATTGGTGTAGCACTCCTCAACGTGCTCAATTTTAATGACACGCTTGCTAAGCTGATCACATCGTGGAGATCCCTCGAGACGTCTTTGGGTGCTATCGCGCGTGTAAGAGATTTTGGCAACAAGATCCAGGCCCAGGACCATTCCGTGACAACATTTGAACCAAAACCGCAAAACTGGCCTTCCTCTGGTCGAATTGAATTTCGACACATCTCGGCGGCCTATGATATTCACTCGCCACCAGTCCTACGAGACATCTCTCTGACCATCGAGCCTGGCATGAAAGTTGGGATTTGTGGCCGTACCGGCAGCGGAAAGTCGTCCTTGCTCCTGGCTCTTTTTGGCATGCTCCAGATCACATCGGGCTCCATCTATATCGATGCTCTCGAGACCTCTGGTCGTCCTCATGAAACAGTATGCCAAGCTCTTCGCGTGATCCCCCAAGATCCGTTCCTGCTCCCGGGAACAGTGCGGTTCAACCTCTCTCTCGATGGCACATTCCAGGACACCGTTCTCGTCGCAGCATTGGAGCGCGTCTCTCTCTGGTCACTGCTCGCGGCTCGTGGTGGACTTGATGCCGATGCGGCGATGGCACCACTCAGCCATGGCCAGCAGCAACTCTTCTGTGTGGCCCGGACACTGCTACAGGCGCCAAGCAGTCACATTTTGGTGCTGGACGAGGCTACATCGAATCTTGATCGTGAATCGGAGAGGATGGTGCAGGAGCTTCTGAGAGAGAGCTTTGCGGACCGGACCGTCATTGCGGTGACGCATCATCTCGACATTATCATGGATTTTGACCGCATCGCGGTGCTTGACCAGGGCTGCTTGGTGGAGTGGGATACCCCAGCTAATCTCCAGCAGAGGGAGGGTGGAGTTTTCAGGGCTTTGTGGGAGCAGCAGCAAATCTAGGGTCGCGTATTGATTTGGGGGAAGGGGGGGCAATTCACGTGACATTTTATGAAGCTTGATCTCTTTGATATTATATATGGAAAGTACTAGAGTAATCCAAGCATATCTCGATTATTGCTACAGCTTCCATGCAATATATTCTATTGTGCAGATTCTATATATGGAAATAAAAGGCTCTCTTTCTTCGCTAAGATGCAAGCTCGCTTGCGTTCCCCCTTTCGAACCTCGCCGCCCAAACATCCATATTCCGCACACCCGCCAGACCACCCTCTAATTTTTCAACAGAGCTCGCCACAGCATCTTTCATACCAAGAAGCATACTCTTTACCCTGTCCTCAACGTCCAGTAGCTCCACATGACTATCAAAAACCGGATGCAAGCCCATCCAAACCTCCCTCTCTCCATCTCGCTGCCCGGGCCCTGGCTGGACAATTTCCTCATCCACCAAGTTCCACCGCGCATCCACGACCATCCGCTTTATCTGCGCCGGCGAAACCGCCGTGCGGATATTCCGCTTCGACGCATCGCTACGCATGCTTTCCAGTGCGTTGACGGACAGGGCAACCAGTACGTGTGGAAAAGCCTCCGGAAGCGTCGTGCTCAGCGCATGGTCCGCTATGCAGAGACGGGGAGCACGCTGAGTTGCCAGAGACAGCATGGGTGGTAGAAGTGTTGGGGTAGCAAAATACCAGATGCAGTGCATAAAGATATATTGGGTTGAAAGGGTATTGGGTACTGAAGGTCATGGAGAATTGATTGCATTGTAAAAGGTAGCTATCTAAGGTGTTTATATAAAGAGTGTAAGGTTTAGGCAGACATGAAGCATTTAGGCAGCAGAACTATAAGTGGATCAAATAAGGAAAATACATGTATGAATCAAATGAAGTGCCAATGGTTTCTTGGGTTATTTATTTGACTGTCTTCTCCCTTCTTTCGGGGACAGGAGAGATACCCCACAAGTGCTTTTACGCCCACTTATGAGACAGCTCACAATATAAATTAGTAGGAAAGCAAGATCTTCCACAGCGGATACTGTGTGCTGTTATTTTTTGGGCGTGAAAAAGAAAAGTTTAAATCGGCCAGTAACAGCACACCCCAAACGACCTTGTGTAAATGCACGTTGTACAATGTAGTACAGTACAGTAAGGTCAAAGTTCCCTCAAGAAATCCAGTTCCTTGGCATCGTATTTGGACCCTTAAAACTTTCCAATTTATGCATATATATTTCGGCGGCGCACGAAAAGTCGAGGCAGAGCCTAGGAATATTCGCGATCTTAACGGAGAAAAGGCAAAACCCAGCTAATTCCAAGGCGTATCGCAGTCAAGAGGTTAGGCAGCTTGGGTTGTCACCTTTATCGTTCATCATATAGCTCCACTACGAGTATGGTTTGGACCAATTCCATTGTCTTAGAAGGATATTCTCTAGGTTTACACCCCACCTATAATAATAAATCGTATACCGGTATGAAGGGGGATGGCCTGAGCAGTCTAAATTCCAAGATCTTGGTTAACCTGCATCAGATGGAAAATCAAGATCGTGAAACGAAAGTATAAGCTTGTAAAGTGGAAACCAGCTGCCGGGAAGCCGAGAATCGGACGGAGTCCAGAGTTCTTCCTCAATGAATGGGCTTCTCGCCGTTAAAAACATACAAGTATTTTTAATGGTGTAGTAGTTATGAATTCTACTTGTTATGTGAATGCTCGGCGCGAGTTTGATTCTCCGCTAGAGAGAATCTAAGAATCAACTACTTCAACAAAGTGTTCACACATCTTTTGCAACCTTTTCAATGGTTTGAAATTTGGTAGGTTCTTGTGGAACCCTATGGTTCTTCCAGGTGGTTACTTCATGCTGCCTGGGCTAATTTAATTGCATATCTGAAGCTGAGGCGGTGAAATTGTGAAGTGAATAATACCGGTAGGGGAACGAACTGTGAGACACCTTTACAATTTAGGCAATTAAATTGCCCAAAAATACTCACGTGGAAAGTATCAGGATTCCAAGTTAATGCCAAATCGCGCTAGCAACCTTACCATATACCGAACAGTAAATGCTACGTTTGAAACTGTCTATTCGCCTATTGCAAGACAAAATGGAGTTCCGAGCCTCTAAAATTGAAAAACGCATTACCACTACACCAGAGTAGAACATGATCGATATCCCTGTTAGGAAATATTAACCTTATAGTCCAGGCGTAGAAATTATTGGAATCCACAGCTGCTAAAGCCAAGGAGTCACAGCCGGTTCTCTGGAATCCTAATCTTATCTTGTTGATCCACCATGGCTAGCTACCGTTCAAGTTGATAAGCTACGGAGATACAGCCCGTTATTTTCACCCCAGTGAGGATCCCTCTCCTGGGTCTTGTCAGCCTTGTTGAAGCATTGAAGTAGTCAAAGTGAAATACTGTACATTACATAATCTACTAAGCAGTCCTCTCGGTCCATCATGACTCGAATTTTCTGACCCGGCGAGTAAATTTGCTCATTCAAGCCTTGCGTAAAGTCATGCACCAGGTGTATCAACAAATTTCGTACGGAGGTATGAAGTATGATCACTCGTTCGCGGTACTGTATGTGGAGACGGTACTCATAAAACACGGACTCTAAATCTACCGACGAAGTGTGCAGCCAAATTCTTAACCTCTCTAATCCACCCGAGATGTGAAATACCCTGTACAGATCTGAAATTAGGTTTTTCTATACTCGATACCCGGTGCGGTGCAGGAGATACTATCTCCTAAGCCGCCCGGAGGGTTCTCTGACAGGGAATTAGCACTCCGTTATTTTTCACACCAAAACCTAACTTACACCAAAAAATCGTGCACGTCCTTGATCTACCCGAAAAAAGACCCCTGCACGGTTTAGAAGATAGCGACGTAAGGCAACGGAAGATTAGGCGGAACATACGGCATCAAGAACATTGTGTACAATACTATATGGGAATTCAATTCTCTTTGTACCAAGAATTAGGGTGAAAACTACTCTTTTGAGGCAAAAACAGGTGTATCTCCCGCGCCACCATAAAAAGGATCAACAAGTTTAGGACTCTGCAGACAACTAACGGTTCTTTATCCTATGTTTTTTCCGCATGATTTCCTCTAGACATCCTAGAGGGATTTAAGGATATCTCGGTGGTGAAAGAGCGTCTGAAACTAGACATTTTCATACTCTAAAAACCCTCCGAAAAGCTGGGCCATTTCCAGAATATTAGTCGGCATAAGTGTAGTCCTAAGCAACATATTCCCTGCAGTCATTTCCCGCCAAGATCCTACATTTTATAGTACATAGGATACAGCACGTTGAGACTCAATCACGTAATATTTGCGTTACGGGATGAGTGGTAGAGAAACACCGGAGATTCCGTCGCTTCAGAGTTGGACATTTCAGAGTTGCACCTGCTTCCGCCGACTCTATTAAGCGAGTGCGTGAATAACCGACATTTTAGTTTTGGCTACATTTATACTTTGAACACTTAAAAGCATATTTTCTTAGTTTACCAGAATCTTGAGCCGCAATATTCGACGGAGGGAGCTTCCGCTTATCGTAATCTTCTTCGCATAAGAGGAGGAATTCTAGCGCAGTGAGTGGGAGCCTCCAGATCACGTTGTTTCGTACTACTCCGTACTCCACCCTCACATCCTAGTATTTCCTCTAAGGGCGATTCACCACGGTAGTTTACACTGTTCTAGACTGCTCTATACTCCACTCGCCCACCCTAGCATTTCTTATAAGGTCGATCTACCACGGTACTAGATGGGGCACATTATTTCCTAACTTCCGGGAATATCTACAGGCGAAACTCGATACTAGGATACTTACCATAAGAATATCCCGGGTTACATCCTTAAGTTTTATAACTCGGATTTTTATTGGTGGTAAATCTATTCAAGAATATTTTTACTTACTATAAGGATATCCTTAGGTTTTAGGGGTCCCGAAGCTTTTTTTATACTAAAAACATTCCTACTTTTGTCCTTCAAAGTACTGATTTAAAGTACTACTAGGTAATACAGCACATACTTCGTATTCCCAACACTTAAGTATGCGACCTTGTCGTCGCCTATGCCAAGAAATTCGTCATAAGGATATTCTCATCTGAATCCTTAGAGAATCCCCGCCCGAGAATATCCTAGTAACCAGTTTCGCCTATGTAACGTCCATGAGATAAGACTGCGCGCAATTAGGAGCAAGCCAAGGAGCGGAGTGTTGAAGATGTAAGACACACCAAAGTCAATCAGATAATATACTACATGCTGCTGAAGCCGTTGAGTCATCCTAGCTCGGAAGTTTTTGGTAAGAGGTTGGAATGCTTTATTTTATCTAAGAGCCCTTGTCCATGATATCAAATGTAAAATTACTAACTAGTATGCCTTTTATCTTCCACTTGAGCAGCGTGTCAGATTCGAGTAGTGAAAACCACTAATCAACTCAACTCGCCAAGTACTAGATTCACTCATGAGTAATTCGAGTAGTGTCGGCCTGATATCATGTAGCGCGCCCGGCCTGGCGAGCTGGACTCCGAGCGGTCGGTTAACGTGCGCAGATTTAGCCGAGTGTCCCTGCATCAGGCACATACTATTACGTGGCTATTAAGGACAACCTTGCAGATGGGAGTTTCTTATACTGTAGTCACGTTAAATATAACTACTTGAGTACTACTCGAATAATTGATACACTACTCACTCAACTTAACTCAACGGTATCACCTAATCATACTCATTCCACTCAGCTCGAATATTACTCAAGAATTACTCGAGTAGGGTTAGATAGTTGATCAGTTTTGTTCACGCGCTGCACTTGAGTACCAAGTAACAAGAAATTGTTACCGTGGTAAATCGATTCCTAGGCTGAGACAAGGGTTTGTGGGTAGAGTACGGAACAGTGTGAACTAAGCCCTTTACTACCCTTGATTATGCTTTATTCTTATGCATACCAAATTGCAGTGATCAACAGTTCCTCTCTACTGTAGAAGCTGGTCTCTTGGTAGCTAGGGAATGTGGTTTTTGTACTCCATCCGCAACCCAAGTCTTCCCCTGAGAGTCGATTTACTACGGTACTCAGAAGTGCAGTGTACCAAAGTAAAGAGAATCACCTCTGCTACTCGAGTACCCCAGCCTAGAATCCAAACCTGAAATCATAGCGTTACTAAAGAATATAGCCCTCTAATCTCTAGTCCCTTGTATATCATGTTCACGGTATCTGGGCGGGCATTTTTGGCCTATGTCCTAAGCGAACCAAGACAAACAAGCGAAGAAATGGTGGTTGTTCCAGACTTGTATGCCCTGTATGTTACCCTAGCCACTCTTGGAAACTAAGGATTGCTTCGACTGGTACGAAGTATGCCGACTTCTAGTGAGTTCTCGAGTACTATAAGAAGAGAGACAAATCCTCTCATGTTACATTCCTCATCACATCATCTTCTCTGATCACTTCCTCTCGCTCATATCAAAAGCATCTTCTCAGCACTTTTTGGCTACCACGCATTCATCAATTTCCCACCACTATCAAAGTCACTTCCTCAATATCACTCTCTTCATTCTCTCGCCACTACTACCCTCAATCGCCAGTCGCAAATATGCAATTCTTCACCCCAGCTTTCCTCGTACTTATGGCCGCCACAGTCATGTCCAATCCTACTCCTCAGGATGGGCCACCGATCCTTGAGTCCGAAAGATTCTGCGTTGGTGGCGACATTGTATGCTCCTATAGCAATGGAGGATCCTGCGTCGTCCCCCGCACTTTGAAGTGCAGATGCCCTGCAAACTGGGACGGCGGACATAACAGCAAGAGTGGCTGCGGTGTTATTGCCAACAACGTTGACCAATGGGATGTGTGAAGTTCGGAATAGGTGGTGGTTTTTGATGTGGGGAATTCATCTACGATGGATTCGGGCTTTCTGAGGGAGTGACGGATAGGAACAACGGATGGGAGGAATGGATGGGGGGAATGGATGGGGGGAATGGATGGGAGGAAAGGATGGGACTGAGGTGGAATTTCTTTGTCATGTATCTCTCTATTTGTTAGCTCTTCAGATTCAACATTCTATTGCTACAGCCATATTCCCAACTGGTGTTAAAAATGTGATTTGCAACAAGGTGCGGTATTACTTCCCTTACCTCAGCCTATATATACGCCCCTTAACAAATAACATAATAATATATCGAGGCTACACGGGATCCCGCGCCGCCAAATCTACTATGTAAATTCTAGCTGACTAAACGCTAGGAATGTATACTAATATATACTCGTAGGACGTAGGATCGTATACGCTCTATAAATCCTTTTTATATATCTGAGTCTTTGGAGAAGCGATATATCTAAGTAGGGAAAAGTAAAGGCTTTCTTTATTACTTTATTGCTTTATTACTCTCTTACTCCCTTACTTCTTTACTCTCTTACTCTCTTCCTCTCTTCCTCTCTTATTCTTTTACTCTTTTCCTTTCTTCCTCTCTTACTCTCTCTCTCTCTTTTACTCTCTTACTCCCCTACCCCTTATATATAACTTCTTTAACTTTAAGCCTTTCTAGCCTAATATATTCCTCTTATTTACCTTACTCTAAATCTATAATATATATATATCTATTCTAACTAACCTCCTAACCTCCCTCCTCCCTCCCCCCTTCTCCCCTTAAGAAAGCTATCTCCTCGTCGCGTTATATGTACATTTCAATTTTTGAGTTTGCCATTTCCTATTTAAGCGGTCGGACAGGTCGGAATAATACCTAGACCCACTACGGGGCTTGGTCCGATGTGCTCCGCACCAATTAGGTTATACTATTCTTGGGTACCAAGACTTAGAGTGGGTATTACCAACCTAAAAATTGAAATGTACATATAACGCGACGAGGAGATACTAATACTAAACCACTAAACACAAACGCCAAACTTATCAAAGCAAAGTAAAGTAAATCACCCTAACCCTAAGCCCCCTAACCCTATCCACATCCCTCACTTATTCTATAATTATAATCATAACCATAATCATCTCTACCTTACCTTACCTCATCTGAACTCATCTTATTCATACATTTATCTATCCATCTATTTATAAATCTATTTAATAATCTATCCAAACAACCCCATCTCCACACATCCACAGTATACCCCCTCCCCCTTCTTCTCTTACTTCCTCTCCTCAACGTTCGGTACATAGAACTATATCCCATAAAATAATTCTATTCCATTCTACCTAGAATCCTTCCAGAGCACCTTTATATTAGAACTACCTATATTCATTCCATCCATTAGTCTCTACTATCCCAGGATTTCCCTACTCGAGTAGAATTACATTTATACTAAATATTCTATATTCATCTATATATATCCAAATAAATATCCGCATTTCATTAGCGTACAAGGGGTCGCTTTACAAACGACTATTATAACTAAAAACAAGCCAACCCGACATAGAATACATTTCCTGAGTTCTATAAAATTGATATCGAGAAATTCTATACTCGTATGTGCTTTAGAATATATATATGCCTCGGGAATAGAATTATCCTAGTAATCTCTTGGATAGAATGGAATGGAATAGAATACTTCCCGAGGAGGGCTCTAGAATTGAATGGGATTCCAGTTGCTGAACGTTGCCTCTCCTCCCCCCACATCATCCTCCCGCATCCTACTATCTCCTACTCCCTATCCTACAAACACATAC